AACTTCTATTTTCCTTTTTAAGCCCATTTTCAAATGCTCACTAACTAATAAACGGACCTGGGCCACACCCATCATAACTGTCCACTTTATATGACTAAGAAAGTAAGAAGGTTTCACCTCAAAATCATATGGCAAATTGGTAATAAGGGGAGTAACCCTTAGCCTTATTAAGTGGACACAACTTTCTTATTTCTTCAATGTGAGATACACATCCCAATACAAACTCTCACTTATAAACTCAATTAATATAGGACAACACACCACTCACATGTGACCTGAGTTTTCTCATGGGCTAAACACTAACTTTAGAGTATAGTATGTACTCCGTATATGTTTTTATTGAGTACGTAAATTGTTTGTGTAATAAGTTGCCAATTTATAGATGCATTGATTATAGTTCTAGACGGAAGAAGATTTATACTAACTTTTTTCCATTTTAAGCAAGAGCCACATGTTACTCACATAGTCATCACATCCTAATTTTGTTTATTCTAAAATTACCTAAGTGTTTAAGGGAAATTTTATGTTGTTGTATATGCAAAAAATATACAAACTATGGAAAAATATTTTATTGAAATAAAGATAGTTCATGAACCGAAACCACTACATTGTCTCTATGGTTTGGATTATGTATATTAGATCCTCAATTATAGAATTAACGATGAATAATGTACATTAGGACGTGATTCATGTGATACTACTTACTGTATCAAGTGTCATGTGATCCATCATGCCTTTTTATTTAGGGATTTTTTAATTTCTTTTTCTTTAGTGGTTGAATAGTTAGAACTTGTTATAAGGGTCTTCTACTTATTGCAACAATTTATTTCACACTACTTATTTTTTTTAAAATCAGACTATTGATATATTAGGATCCGGTTATAAAATTTTTAATTTCGATTAATCAAATCAATACAAATTGGAACGTATCAATTTAAAAAATGTTTATGTCAAGAATTGAACTCGAGTTCATTAGAAAATGGATAAGATTTCATACCATCTTTGTTATCTAAGGGCCTGTTCTCATTGACTGAACTCAGCTGAACTGAACTGAACTGAGTTGAACTAAACTGAACTGAAATAAATATTTTATAAGAGAAGGAAATTAGGAGCTGAACTGAACTGAACTGAGCTGAGCTGAACTGAACTGAACTGAATTTCAACGTAAGAGAACAAACCCTAATACTTTGTTTATTTATTCTTCTTGAATATAGTTAATGTATGAAATGAGATTTTTGTTTTATACAAATTATTTTCTTAATCTAAATCTATAATAAAAGTACTTAATATTATTATAATACAAGAAAACTACAATTGGAAGTAAAAAATATTTAACGTATAGATCCGGGGTATCGTCCGGACTAAACACTAGTTTGATTCATAAATTATTGATATTATTTTTTAAAAAAAAATGGTTGGAAATTTATAATAATAATAATAATTAAAAAAAACACACGCCATAATAATATATTGTCATTTTTATATATTAGTACAAGACGCCAATACATATACCGCAATGTTTTTTTTTTCTTTTTTTTTTTTTTTTTTTACCGCGATGCTACTTGAATATCTTAAGTTTTGGTGCACATTTCTACTGGTTGCTGATATTATTGGGTTCGGGTCACCCATTTTGTTGGACCGCACGCACACTACACATCACATTGCTATGCTATTGTACGCTTTGAAGCTAGTCTCTGCACGGATTTTTTTTTTTTTTTTTTTTTTTTGGAGCACCTTTTCAAAAACCTCATACTAATAAAGGTGTACACTAACTACTTATAAAGAGTTCTTCACTTAATTTTTCCATGTGAGACTTGGGATGAATAACCCCAACAGATACATGGACTGCAAATCATATATGTGATGATATCCTTAATGGTTAATTAAACAATAGTAACAAAGGTTATTCAAGACTAATATCAACTTATCAAGGCTAGTATAAAACTAGGAGAGAATATCCGGGATAAATTAATTAAGGATAGTATGAATATCATGTATGATATCAGCATGCTATGATCAATGATCGGCCTTGACTTGATCAATTCTATCAGCAGGTCGGCCAAGTGCCGATATGATACGATGGAATAATATATAGTGGAAGCTTAAAGCGATAATTGGTAGCTTTGTTTTGTTTTTGAAAGAAAGATACATGAATGAAGCACTTGCACGCTAATTGCATATTAATTTTTATTGTAGTCATATTTCAAACGACCGCTATAAAAAATATTTTTTTTATTAGGTTTGGAAATTATTTTATTTTAATTTTGGTAATTAATTTTTTTATTGTTTATTCCTAGGTTTATTTGTAAAGATACCACCAACCAAAGAAATCTTGACTCCTTATTGTCTAATGTCTATACACAAAAAGGTTAGTCTATTCTTTAATATAGGTAATGATAAAAAGACAATGAGCGAAAGTGAGAGAAGGGAGAAAAACTTTTCTACCGAAGAGGCTGACCAAATGAAGAGATCCAATAAGAAATTCAAACGTACGCCGGAATCGTCTCCCATAGGGAATTGTGATTATCAGGATAGGCCAATTGATACTGAGATGCATCAATTGGAGGGTCAAGGCGAAGAAGTGGCGGCGCCGTTACAGCCGCAACCAAGGGTTTCTTACTCCCATCTGGCTAGGAGTAATAATGAATTGGACATCCAATTTCAGAATTACGGAAATATGGTAGAGGATTGGGAATCGGAGGATGACATTCCCCTTGAGTGCGAATCTGATGATGATTCGTGCCCCAATTTCCTCCTGTCAAAGGAGGAAAAACAGAGGCTTTGAAAACCTTGGAAAAATGCGTTGATTATCAAACTTTTTGACAAGCGTATGAGCTATGAGGTCTTTATTAAGAGACTAAGGCTAAAATGGTGTTTGAAGGGACATATCTCCCTTACAGATGTGGGATTCGCCTACTATATAGTGCGATTCACAAACATGGAGGATTACAATTTTGTATTAACTCAAGGACCTTGGATCATCGGAGATAGTTATTTAACAATTCACAAATGGGTTCCAAACTTTATTGCGGATGAAGCTCCAATTAAATTCCTAACGGCATGGGTGAGGATTCCTCAGTTATCTGTGGAATATTTTGATAAGACATTCCTTCATCGAATTGGATCAAGGATAGGTAAATTTATCAGTATTGATAAAAATACTGAGTCCATGAGTCGTGGTCAATTTGTCAGATTCAGTATTGAAGTTGATCTTTCTAAACCTTTGTTATCAAAGTTTAGATTAAATGGTAGAGTATATATGGAAGATTCAATATGAAGGATTGAAACTTACTTGCTTTAGATGTGGTAAACTTGGCCACAAAGATAATGAATGCCCTGTCCATGTCACTAGAGAAGAAAATTGTGAGAAAGTTGTCAGAACTGAGGAAGCCATACCTTCCCAAGCTCCAAGGGTGAGGCCTAAAGAATGCGTTCAATTTGGATCATGGTCTCATGGATGTTGGTGCAACGGACAACTCGCAAGTTTAATTCAAAATCGAAAGTGGATAATTCTAAGAAACCTCAACCTGAGGTAAGAAATAAAGATGGAACTGGTACATCCAAGAATGCTATGAAACAAAAAACTGGGCATAGCCTACATGTGGCAGGAGCTAAGATGAATACAGACAATGATCAAAGGTCCAAAGCTATTGCTAATCAAGCTGGTAATTCAGGATCAAGATTCAACATTTTGAATCAGGATCAGGACAGTGAACATGTCCTAGAGATGGAGCAAGATCAAGGATCAGTGGCTAGTATTGCGGAAATTATGGTAAGAAACAATACGGTGGAAAATAAGGAAAAGGAAATCAAATCTTTGAATTCGGAGGGTAGCAAGCTGCTAAAAGGGGCAATTAATTTGAGTGATATGAGCAATCATGGTGAAAATGAAATTCCTTTGGAAACTAATTTCCATAATGCGATGGAAGTAGATGAAGATATTGTACCAACAGTGAATTTGGGAAGTTCAATGGAAGAAATAAGCAACTTTCCTCCAAACGCAGAGCCTGGCCTAATCAAAGGGAAGAACTTTTTATTGGCAAGGATCAACTTTTGAATAAGATTGCTCATTCGAAAGATTTCCAATATAAGGATACTAGGAGAAATAAGGAAAATATTGATCCTAGTATCTCAAATGATAAAGGAATTAGCAATAGTATTCTTCCAGTACGTGCCCCGAATATTCAAAGTCCAATTGCAGTGCAAGAGTATAGTGTAGCCTCCCAAACCCCTGCGGCATTGAGAAACCGCACTGTGAACTTGGGTGAACATGAATCCTTTGCATCCCCCGATCACTTTGGTTACCAAAATTCCACCGGAGTATTCAGCCCTGGTGGATTATCTAATGGACGGACCAACCCTTACCATAGTTCATCCAATAGCGAACAAAGCTCTTCTCCAATTGAGCACGTTCCTGCCACCAGCTCACAATCCGCCAGACATGCTAGTGACATTGGCGATCCCAATGGAAATAGCAGGCCCAATGAAAGCTTTGAGCAAAGCGTTCGTGATCCTAATGCCTAATGTTCCTTTGCACGTTTCTGACAAATACCCAAATTTTCCGATGTTTAATATGTCATTAAAGATAATGATATGGAATGTTCAAGGAATTGGGAACAAATTAGCTGTTTTGAGAGAGCTAATTAGGATCAATGACCCCTCTATCTTAGCACTGGTCGAAACTCATATTAGTGGAGAGCAGGCGCAAAAGATATGTGACAGGATTGGCTTCTCAGGCCAATTTCGCGTTGAGGCTCAGGGTTTCAGTGGAGGAATTTGGCTTTTCTTGAGACAAGAGTTGATAGAAGTCACAGTACTAGACAATCAATCTCAACACATTACAGTTGAAATAAAAAAAGAAGGAAGAGGAACCATGGATGTTCTCGGCAATTTATGCGAGTCCAGATTCAACAACTAGACATGAGCTTTGGAGACAATTGGAAAATATTGGTCGAGCTTACAATGGACCGTGGATGCTAGCGGTTGATTTCAATGATACAATGAGCATGGCGGAGAGACTGGGAAAAGGTGGTTCAGAGATGGAAAGAAGGTGCAAAGAGTTCTCGGATTGGGTTAATAACAATCAGCTTATTGAACTCGGTTTTTCAGGCCTTGAATTTACTTGGTGTCGAGGCCTATCTCAAGCAACTTTTAAAGCTGCTCGCCTAGACAGAGCTTTGGTGAATGATGAGTGGAGACTTTGCTTCCCGGAAGGAGTTGTTTGTAATTTGACCAAGTTGACTTCTGATCATTGTCCATTGCTCATTAATACCAATGGTTTTGCGCCTATCCCAACAGCCCTTAAACCTTTTAGGTTTCAAGCTGCGTGGATCAAACATGAGAAATTCGAGGAATTTGTGTCTACCTCTTGGGATCATAATTGTCCAAGAGATGTTGCATACCATGAGACGGAAACAAGGGAGAGTGGGCTATATGGCAGTGAAGATTGACTTCGAAAAAGCGTATGATAGGCTTAGATGGTCATTCATTCGAGAATCCTTGATGGAGCTTAGACTTCCTCAAAACATGGTTGAATTAGTAATGATGTGCATTAGTTCGACCAAGATGAGCATTTTGTGGAATAGTGAACCGACTTAATATTTCACTCCATCTCGAGGAATTCGCCAAGGAGACCCTTTATCTCCATATATATATGTGCTATGTATGGAAAGATTGGCTCATCTTATTGATAGAGAATGTCGCTTGGGGGCGTGGAAACCGACTCGGGCTAGCATTGGTGGACCGGCCATTTCAAATTTAGCCTTTGTCGACGATCTAATCCTTTTCTGTGAAGCTAGCATGGATCAAGCAGTTCTTATGAAAAAATGCCTTAATGAGTTTTGTGGAGCTTCGGGCAGTAATGTTAGTGTGGATAAAAGTCGGGTGTACTTTTCCCACAATACTAACATTAATATTAGAGATGCTATTTGCAATGAATTGGGAATGGTGGCTACGGAAGATTTTGGAAAGTATTTAGGCGTCCCTACTATTAATGGCCGAGTCACAAAAGATAATTATCAATTTTTAATTGATAAGATTAACTCGAAGCTAGCAGGTTGGAAAAGCAAGACCTTATCTCTTGCGGGAAGGGCCACATTGATACAATCCTCACTCTCTTCTATCCCTTATTATACCATGCAAACCACCAGGATTCCTAAAGGGATTTGTGACAGAATTGATGCTAAGTCACGAGCTTTCTTGTGGGGCAGTACAAAAGAGAAAAAAAGAATGCATCTTGTTTCCTGGAAAACCATAAACAGGCAAAAAAAAGGATGGTGGATTGGGAATTCAGAGTATGCGTCAGGTGAATGCTGCTTTCCTTTCAAAATTAGGTTGGAGAGTCCTAGCAGAACCCCATTCTTTGTGGTCTCAAGTGATTCGGCAGAAATACTGCAAAGGGAGATGTGATGTGGAGATGTTTACCCACAAGAGTGATTCATCAAACGCTTGGAGAGGTATGGTTGATAACATTGATGTGTTAAAGCGCGGGATTGATATAGCAGTGGGTAATGGTCGATCAACTTCATTCTGGAATCAGAGGTGGGCTACAGATACTCCCTTGATAGAATTAACTACTCCTCATCCTCCTAGCTTCTCCTTGAATTATACGGTTAGGGAGATGTGGGATGTGAGTAGAGGCTGGTTAACTGAACATTTTGCTGATTATCTTCCAGCGGAGGTTTTGATGAAAATTCATTCCCATGAGTTAATTGAGGATGAGGAGGCTGTTGACAGTATTTATTGGAACGGATCATCCTCGGGTGGTTTTACTATCCAATCAGCTTTACAAATCATTAAGAGGGAGAATAATCAACCTGAAGGTCAAGACATCAAGTGGGAGAAAATCTGGAAACTCCGAGTGCCTCAAAGAATAAGATTCTTTTTATGGTTGGCTGCTCATGATAGATTAATGACAAATTCGAACAGATTCTTACGACATCTTACCCCTGACCCGAGGTGCTATGTTTGTGGGTATGTGGAAGAGAACACGAGTCACATACTTAGAGATTGCCTTGCAGCCAAAGTCATTCGGAGAAAGCTTGGAAGGGGGTCTGATTTGCGTTGGCAAACTGATGATTGTAGCAATTGGCTAATAGAAAATTTGAAAGACAGGAGGGAGGCAGAGTTAGATGGTTGGCCGGTTTTGTTTGCCACCACTTGTTGGTGGTTATGGAGGTGGAGGAATGAAAGGTGTTTCGAGAGAGAGTCAGCTATTCCTCTTGACCAAGTCAGTTTCATCTATGCTAGAGTTGGGGATATTAATAGAGCTTTCAAGTCTAATTTGCTGCAGGATCTCCCTAAGAAACGCAAGAGGACAGAGATGCTAATTAGGTGGAACTTCCCTCGAGAAGGATGGGTTAGATTGAACACGGATGGAGCATCTAAGGGTAACCCGGGTCCAGCTGGGGTAGGAGGGCTGATCAGAGGCCACAGGGGAGAGCTTCACCAAATGTTTGCTATGAATTGTGGCATCTGCTCGAGTACTAAAGCTGAACTTCTGGCAGTTATGAGAGGCATGGCATTGGCTTGGAATGCAGGGCACCGGAAAATTCAGATTACTGTTGATTCCGAGACAATTGTTCGTGTTGAGCAATTAGGTTTTGATGATTATAAACTAATGATGATTATCTATCTAACGTGTATGTTAAGTTGTGCATAGAAAAAGCAAATTATGCTTGGAACAGGATACAAGGAACCTGAGTAATGACAGGTATATATGTAAGGAACTTGAGCAATATAGGATAAGCAATAGAGGAACAAGAACAACGATAAGTGTTATGGTTGATAAGCATGATGATGGCTAAGGGACCATGAAGGTAACTATGTAAACATGTGTTTACATATGTTAGCTTCATAAGGTAAGTATCCTATACATATATAGGTTATGTATGTGTAGGAGTCTTTTAATTTAGTTTAGTTTTCTTTATTGTTTTTATAAATAAAAAACTAACCTTCTGTTTTACTTTGTTATTCTCAGAAGTTTGCTCAGTTCGTCATCATCAAAAAGGGACAACTTGTTGATCCTTATGAGGTTTTGATGATGATGTTAAGAATTGAGCAAACTTCCATTTAATAAGGATTTTCTAGTGTTGTGATGTTTGCAGGTTCAGTAAGCGTTGAGGGCTGAAGTAGGAATTGAAACAGAGGAACTTTAGAGGATCCATGAGGATACAAGTAAATTTAGAAGAAGAGTTCCAGAAATGGAACTTCCAGAAGTTTCTTAACAGGAACTTCAAAACGGGTTGTAACGACCTGGTTTCGGTGTAATGCTGGGGAAAACCCTAAGATCCAGAATATATCAAGACTACAGGATTCCAGAACAAGAGTTTCAGAGAAGCAACATGAAGACAGAGAAATAGAAGTATATTGCTCTAGGATTCATGTAAGTATGTTGGACATAAAAGTCGGTCTGGAACAAGTCTATATAGAACCAAGGTGAATTCCAAACAGTCAATGAAATTAGAGTAACTGACTTGTCAGGAACTCAGAGACTGTCAGAGTTCAGGAACCTAATAGGAACTTAAGTATGAACGTCGTTAAAAGTCGGTTTTAATGATATATATATTTACCTTATACGTGCATATCTTTTAGGGATTTGGTTTTACTGAATAAAGATATTTATCTTCTAATAAATCCCTTTTGGAAAAAGATAAGATTGTTTAAAAAGTATTTTAAACAAAAAGATAAGTTTTGAATAAAATCTGATTTTATGCTAAGTTTATCTTATTATTATTGACAGTTTTTATTCTTAACAAAAAGATATATTTTCGGAAAACTGATTTTTAGAAAATATCTTTTAAACTTATCTTTTCAGAAAATCTATCTTTTTCAAGATGAAATGAATAATTCGAGTGTACTATAAATATGCTCATATGCATTCATTCAAAGTTGAGGCTGACGAAGTGTAGTGGTCGTGCTTAATGGTTTTATCCTTCACCACGAAGCTAAGTCAGTCCTCCTGGTCAAAGTTCCTATCAGGTTTTTGGTTACAGTACGTCTAGTGAGTTCCAGACAGATCTTGAGTGTTCAACATATTAGTTTTATCTCTTTATTCATAGATATGTATTTAGGGATATTCGATGAGATCTTGTAATGGGAAAAAGGGTTTTGAGTGTTTTGTATTTTGGGGTGAGATTGTGAATTCTCTTAAATTCACGCTTGTGTATGAGTTTGAAATCTGGTAAAATTCGAGTGGTAGCTGTGAGTGCACAGTGAGTGAAAGGAACCTGAGAAGTGTCTTGGGTCACCTAGGAAGTTTCCTGGGTAAAGGGAGAAAAAGGGTCCTGAGAAGTGTCTTAGGTCTGGTAGGAAGTGTCCTATCATAGAGTCAAGTGTCCGTGGCGGAACTTGCAAAGCAAAGGTCTGTGTAATAGGTTGTACTAGGAGAGTTGCCTATTATAGTGGAATTTGTTTATAAGTCCCAATAGGGCCGAGGTTTTACTTCCAGTTAGGCACTGGATGGTTTCCTCGTAAAACTTGCTTTGTGCTTTAAGTTCCTTTACGTTTTGTTTTTAATTTCCGCATAAGTTTCGCGATTGGAACCTACTACCATTCACCCCCCCTCTTGTAGTAGTTCATCTAAAATAACAATTGGTATCAGAGCAGGTGCTCTTGATAAACCGGGTAACCCCGAGGAGCAAGTTCCAGGCTAGGATGGATATCTACAAGGAATGCAGTGAATGGAACTCAACCCTAGAACGTTCCGAATACCACGTGAAGACCAAAGTCTGCTTGTGAAGCAGATGTGATTCAAAGATGAACATCTTTGAGGTAAGTGTCTCGTCTTTGAAGTCTTGATTATATGCATGACATTATGTGTACAAGTTCCTTGTAGTATTTCTAGTTAAATTTTGGATTTTGTTTTGAAAGTTTGCAAATCAATTTTGTGTAACCTCAAATTTGATTTATAGAGTGAAAAGTATTTGTCAGATTTACAAATTGATTTATTTTTAAAGAATCGGTTTACTGGAAATAGTTCAAGGAACGTATTATGTAGAATTATGCATATTTGGTCTCTTGGAACCTGGATTATCCCTGTATGGAAACTTAATTCTTTGGGCAAGGTAATGAACGTATATTTTGAATATTTTCCAAAGAATGACCTTATCATGTGTATGTGTTTTTCTGAATATTTATTATGTAGACACATGATGTTTATTGTTAGTAAAGATAGTTGGTTTAACCGTAGTTGTTTTAATTATGGATTATTAATGTCTATTACTAACATGAAAGTACCCAATATAAATTGGGTAACCAAAGCCAAAAGATGACTGATTTTGCAGGCTAAGTGAGTGGAGACAACTTATTAATAATGATGAACTTTGGTTGTTTGTATATAAGCAATTATGTGCAAATTCCTCTCACTAGAAAGCCTTTATAAGAGGTTTGTAGTAGGTGAATCGACAACATGAATAAGTGTGTAAGTTGCCTATACATCTCTCTGTAAATA